AAGATGTTATTCCATTGTCTTCTATTTTGTGTAACTTTTTTTGAGGAACCAGTGGAATTTTTTAGTGTTATTCTTCTATATATTTTGTTTTCTGGTTATTTTTAGGATTTCCTATTTATCTTTGGTTTTAGAAATTTTATTTTCATATGCCTAAGTGTGTTTTCTCAAGAATGGCTTGGACTCTTGTATGTGTGATTTGATATTTTTTATTATACTTAGGGGAAAAAATAGCTATTATTTCTTCATGCATGTTCTGTCCCAATTTCTGTGTCTCCTCTCTTTTTGTTAGTCCACTTACTCATATTTTCAATTGCTTAGTATTGACCCAGAAGACAATGACGCTTTGTTTATTCTCTCAGCTTTTTTCTATGTTTAAATGTGGGTCATTTCTGTTGATTGTTTATTTCTTTTGCAACATCCATTTGTTATTAATTCCATCCAGTGAATTTTTTATTATAGGCATTTTGTTTTCAATACATACTTTTTAGTTGCTTCTTATAATTTTCATTTGTCCGCTAGAACCTACCCCTCAATTCACTCATGGAGTACATCTTTTTATTTATATCCTTAAACATTTATAACAACTGTTTTATAGTTTCTGTCTCCTAATTCTAGCTTTGTGATATTTCTAGGTGTGATTCTACAGATTTTTTTTTTCTTCCTGGTTATTGTAATTTTTTAATGTCTTCACATATCTAGTTTTGGTTTTATTTTTTAATATTATGCTGGACATTGTTATACCATTTTACTAAAACTTTGAATTGTTTTCTTCCTTTAAAGGGTGTTAAGATTGATTCTGATTGTCAATAATTTATTGGATAATAAACTTTAATGTGTCAAGGCTTGCTTTTAGTCATTATTAGGGCTGGCTATTCTTACAGTGAGATTTTTCTGGGATCTTACATTAAATGCCTAATATATTTGGTGAGATTTCTCTTCTCTGACCAAATATAACTCCAGTGACTTTCAGCACTGTTTGTTCTCCAGAATATCTACACATCTTAGAGTCTTTCACTATCTCTTGAGGCGTGCCAGGCCTCAATGAAACTTGACCTGGGCATGCAGAGTTTTGTATTTGGGCAAAGATTCAGGTGACTCCAGGCATACTTCTAGACTTCTATCTCTATCCAACAAATTATAGCTTTGTTAGCATACCCAAACTCTAATCTCTATCTCTTCTACCCTACAAAATTATTGGTCTTTATGTTCTATTTCTCCAGGCTATGTTATGGAAAGTGTCCCTAAGCATATACACTGGAAGAATGTGCTAAACTTGTGTTATCCTCTTGTATCAGGAACACCCTCTTGCACTGTCTTTCGACTAATGTCTTAAAACAGTTGTTCCACACATTTTGTACAAAATTAGAGTCGTTTATAACAGGAGGTTAAGTCCAATACCTCTTAATTTGTCATGGCCATGCAACCAGAAGTCCTCCTTATGTAATTTTTCAATATCTTTGTGGTATCTAGTCATAATCTCTTTCATTCTAGAAACTGATTTTTTTTAGTCCTCATCCATAGATTTCATTAATTTTACTGAATTCAGAAGAGGATACACAAAACTATCCCTCTAAGTATTTGGAATGAAAGGAGCTGGAAACAACACCAAAAGAAAGAAATTTCCTTCACAGGTATTGATTAAAAAATATCAGTTGTATTTGTTATGAAACAATATAAATTTCTCATATTTATTAGAAACATAGATTAAGAAAAATTATGAGCCTTGTGGTAGAACTCAACTGACTAGACATTAATTACATTTCCTGTCCTATTATAGCACTACTCTGTCACTTACATAAGCTTATTTGGGTTGACATTTCCCAGCTCTGAATTTCTATGTATCCATATTCATATCATATTGTTATTCCTTTTATTATTCATTTTTTAGCCATGGTAAATTTTAGTTTATTTCTTGTTAACTAATTATGTAATGATCTCCAACAGTCTAACTCCATCATTTTCTTTTTTCTTTCCCTCTCTAACCTTATATTTTATTATCAATTTTTCTTTCAACAGGCTTAGAAATCCTAGGAGAGATTGGCTGTCTTACCAGTTTCCTAGTGTTAGGGAAATAATTCTTGATTCTGCATGAGTTATAAGAGGAGCATGGAGAGTGACATAGGTGCTCACTTCTCTCTCTTCCTAGGTTCATCCTATCAAAAAGAAAAGAGAGTGAGAAAATTAAATGAAATGAAAATATTAATATCTGTCTAGGGATTTTATGATTCTAGTTCATAAAAAGAAATTGTTCTGTTGCATAGAATCAAAATCTTTCTGAGGGCAAATAATTTTACCTTACTATTCCTCCCTTTGCTACATTGTTAGCCTTCTATCATAGAAGAAAATAAAAATTGCTTATAAAATACACTTTTCACAAATCTACGATGACTGTTTTATAGTATGTTACACTTTATTTAAAGGCTGTACATTGATGTATATTTTGAAGAGATATTCCCCAAAATATGGATATCAAAGAGATAGGATTATAAATTTTATTGTCACCTTACTTCTCTAGTACAAGATTCTCACCTTCAAAAGGTTGTGATACACTATTGTATGAGTAGCTTCTCAAGAAGAGCTTCATATACTTAGGGAGTAAAGGAGATGTGGGAGATGAAGATGGAGACTGTATTCTTCTAGGTTGATGGTCTGAGATCAGCTGGAAAGTTTCAGAGATTATTTCATCAATTTTTTCAATTTCAGCCATACACTATAACATGAAGAACACTATACTGGAATACAAAAATCTGTACTGGACAAAACTTTCTCAATAATTCCTGGATTAGTATCATTTTTAATCATTTTAAAATATGATTAAATTTACAACCCATGATATCCCTTTATATTCTTTGTGTTTTGGAAAATTTATTTACACTAGGTCAAATTGCTATTGCAGTTCTTATAAAGCAGACTTACTCTTTAATCTACACTGGATAATCTAACTTTCTGATGACTAGAATATGCTTGTTTACAATTCTAAGTAAATCCTTCCCGGGTTCAATGTTCCATGACAAAAGATAAAAAAGTTATTAAATATCAACCTGAAAACCAACTGCGCTATGATTTACAACATTCTTACCTTACCAACCCAAGACTAGATAAGTGTACTAATAGTATTCAATGTTACCTTACAAACATAGATATATTTTTAAGGAAACAGTTTTTGAGATAATTGTAGATTCACATACAGTTTTAAGAAACAATACAAATTACAGAATCCATTACTAAGTTTCCTCTAATGGTAACATCTTTTAAAACTATAGTACAATTTCACAACTAGAATATTGATAGTCATAATGTAAATACACATAATAGTTCCATAATATCAAATACCAATAGTTCCATAATACCAAAGGGATTCATTGTGTTGTCCATTTATAGCCATAACTAACATTGTCCCTACGCCCACTCTAATTATTCCTATGCCCACTCTCAATTTCCATCTCTACCCCAGGCAACCACTCATATGTTCCTCATTTTTTTAAAAAAATTGTCAATTAAAGAATATTGAATAAACGGAATGATAAAGTAGCTAACCTTTGAAATTGGCTTTTTTATGTTCAAGGTGATTCTCTGGATATTCATTTGAGTTGTGGTGTGCATCAATAATTCATCATGTTTTTAAAATTACTGAGTAGAATGTACCATAGTTTGTTTAACCATTTCCTCATTGAAAGACATCTAAATTTTAACGAACTTTTGGCTATTAAAAATGTAAACATTCAAATATAAATTTTGTGCAAACATGCATTTTTGCTGAGGATGATTGGCCCTGGGTTAACATCCGTGCCCATCTTCCTCTACTTTACATGGGATGCCACCACAGCATGGCTTGACTAGCGGTGCATCGGTGCCTGCCTGGGATCCAAACCTGCGAACCCCAGGCCGCCAAAGCGCATGCACTTAACCACTGTGCCACTGGGTCCTTTATTATCTTTTTAAAATGACTACATAATCTGCACTGATGTTTTCTGTTTTATTCTTAATATTGGTAATTTGTGTCTTCTTTTTATTCTTGTCAGTCTTAGTAGGGGTGTATTTATTGAACTTTTTTAAGTACCTGATTTTGTTTCATTTAATTTTTCTATTTTTGTTTTCATTGATTTCTTTCTTCTGTTTACTTTGAGTTTATTTTGCTTGATTTTTTTTTTTCATTTCTTTATGTAGGCACTTAGATTATTGATTTAAGACCTTTCCTTTATTTTTATCTAAGTATACATGGCCATAAATTTCCCCCTTTTTACTGCTTTAGCTGTGCCTCACATATATTGATACATTGTATTTTTATTTTACTCAGTCTGGTTATTACTTTTTATTTTCTTTTACATTTATTCTTTGATCTATGGATTATATATGAGTACATTAATTAATTTTGAAGTATTTAGAGATTTTCTTATTGTTTTTCTGTTTTTGATTTCTAGTTTTATGTCGTTAGGGTCAGAGTATTTACTCTTTTATTATTTCAATTATTTTAAATATGTTGAGGTTTATTTTATGTCCCTGAATATGTTCTTCCTGTGTGAGCATTCCCTGTGTATTAGAAATTATGTATTATTGTATTGTTGGATGGAGTGTTCCATGTATGTCAATTAGATACTATTAGCTGATTTTAACGTTCTGATCTTTTACATACTTTCTATCTGTTAATAATTTCATTAAGGGAATGTTGATGTTCCTAATCATAATTGTGGATTTTTCTATTTCTCATTTCATGTCTATCATTGTTTTCACTCCTATATTTTGAGGCTATGTGGTTTGAAGCATACACATTTAGGGTCACTGTATCTTCTAGATGGAGTCATATTTTATTACTATATATTATTACTCTTATGTCTAGAAATCTCTTATTGTAAATTCTATTTTATGAGATATTAATGTAAATACTCTTCTACTTTTAAAAATTAATTTTAGCATGATTTATCTTTCCTCATCCCTTTACTTTCAATCTAACTGTTTTGTTGAATTTCAAGTGAGTTGCTTGTAAACAGCATATATTTGAGGTCATGTTTTATTCACTTTGCCAATCTCTTCCTTTTATTTTATTTTTTAATTTTTAAATGTTTTCTGAGGAAGATTAGCCTGGAGCTAACATCTGCTTCCAATCTTCCCTATTTTTTGCTTGAGGAAGATTAACCCTGAACTAATATCTCTGCCAATCTTCCTCTACTTTACATGCAAGTCACTGCCACAGCATGCTTGATGAGTGGTGTAGGTCTGTGCCTGGAATTCGAACCGGTGAAACCTGGCCACTGAAATAGAACTCGCTGAATGTAACCACTACACCATGGGGCTGGCCTCAATCTCTTCCTTTTAAATGGTGTATTTAGACCATTTAAATATAAGATAATTATTGATATTCTCAGGATTATATCTGACATTTTAAAATTTGTTTTCTGTTATTTCCTCTGTTTCTTTTATCTTTTTATGAGTTACTTGAACATTTTTCTTTAGGATTTCATCTTGATTTATTTATAATGTTTATTAGTGTGTCACTTTTATAGTTGCTTAAAGTTTGCTCTTAGTGATACCATATACCTATGTGACATCACAGTCCACTTTAACTATAGTGTGCAAACATTTCTTCCCTCTAGGTCTGTTTATACTTCATAATTTTAAACATCATTGACTTGAATATCAAATTGTGTTATAAATTTTGTTTTAATGATCACATATGATTTGGAAAACTCATTAGGAGAAGGATAGTCTAATATAGTCACCCGTATTTCTGCTTTCTGTTGTTCTTTCTTCTTTTCTGTGGCTCCAATATTTCTTTTTTTAATATTTTATTTCTTTTCAAAGCACTTTTAGTAATTTTCTAATGGCTTATCCATTAGTGGCAAATTATTTTAGTCATGCCTCATCTGGCACTTTCTTTATTCCCTCTTCTTTCCTGAAGGGAAAGTTTTGCCACATGTAGTATATGTGGTTGATATATCTTTATTCTCAGCACTTAAAAAAATATTCTGTCACTTCTTTCTGACCTCCATGGTTTCAGATGAGAAATATGTTATCAATTGAATTGATGTTTCTCAACAGGTAATGCATCATTTATCTCTGACTATTTTTAAGATTTCTTTTTTTGTGTACTGTTTTCAGAATTTTAATTTTGACATATCTTGACATGAAATTTTTTGGGGGGAGGGTTATTCTATTTGATATGGCTCAGCTCCTTGAATCTGTGGTTTTGTATTTTTCACAAAATTTAGTGAATTTTAATCCATATTTTATCAAGTACTTTTTTAATACTACTGTATTTCTCTTCTTCTTATGAGACTCCATTGATACAAATTTTGAATATTTTGTGATTGTTTCACAGGTTCCCAAAATTGTTGATTTTTATTTTCAGTCTGTTTTCCCTTTGTTGTTCAAATTGGGTAAATTCTATTGATCCATTCTTAAGTTCACTGATTCTATCCTCTGTTATCTCCTCTCTACTGTTAAGCACATCCAGCAAGTTTTTTTTTTTAATTTCCTTTGTTTTATTTTTCAGTTCTATAATTTCCATTTGGTTCTTTTTTTATAACTTGCATGTCATGCTGAGATTTTTTTAAATGTTTTTCATTTGTTTCAAGAGAATTTGTATTTGCCTGCTGAATCATTTTTCACGATGGTTCCTTCAAATTCTTATTAGAAGATTTAAACATCTGATTCATCTTGGTTTTCATATGAGGTAATTGTATTTTGTCACTCATGTTGTGATTTTTCAGGTTTGTTTATATGATAAGTGACTGCTTATTCTACACTGGGAATTTTGGCTCTTATTTTAGGAAACCTCATGTCATATTTAAATTGTTTATTTTAGCATGCGATCACTCTGTTTAGGTTTTGAACACAGGTTCTGGTCAATTTTTGTCAGATATGTTTCCTATGATATTTTAATTTCCAGAGTATTTTTCATGCAATTTGGTATGCTTAGTTTATCTCATGCTACTGGTGCTCCTACTGGTCCCTACTGATGCTGCTTGAAGGGACATTGTCCGGTGTCTTCTACTGTGGGAAAGGAGTCTCTGGCCCAAAGCATCAAGGAGAGCTTACTGGGTGGTATTCTTGTTGTGATGTAATCTCTGTTCTTGGAGCCACATGGCTGTCTGGTGTCTCTTTCTGGGGTAGGAGAGTTTCAAGCCTGCAGTGACAGAGACACCCTGGACTGTGTGTTCATTGTAGTGACATCCTTATTGCGCATTCTTTCCAACTGTGTGGTTTCCTGGGTGAGGGAAGGGATTCTCAGGCTTGTCAGTGAAGTAGAGCACTTCTCACTTATTTCCAGATATTGTCAGTATGGTTTCCAGTACAACACCCTTGGGAGTCATCAAACCCCAGACCTGGGTTGCCTTTTTCTGTTGGATGTGGAGGTTATAAGACACACTAACACTGTGTTGTTCCTAGAGTCTGAGGGTCCCTAACCAGTATGTCCCCTTCTTTCACTTTTTAGATTTCTCCTTTGGTTGTCTCTTGCCTTGTATTCAGGGTTTAGAGTTGGGGAGAAGCAGGAATAGATGAATCTATGCCATCTTGACTGGACTGGAAGTCCCTGTGACATATATATTTAAATTTTTTTTCATGAATTTAGTAGAGAAAATTAAGAAGTATTTTTCCCCCACCAGCTTGACATGTATTTTAAGACTGCTCTCAGAGGACTGGATTACTTTATAATCATGGTTCTCTTTCCCTGTGTGAGGATTGACTGGATATTTAATTTTCCTGAAAAAATATTATCACTAATTTTAAATTCACTAGTTTATTCATTCTTATCTTGAACTGACACACATTTCCATTACCTGAACACATTTTGATCTATTTTCTAAACTTAAAGATGTACATTTTTTCCACTTCCATGAAATTTTAAAGATGATAAAAAAAGTAAAGTAGTTCTATTGTCAAAAGAGGTTATGTTTAGGTTTTATTATTTGGTTTGTTTTTTTCCATTTGAAAGGAGTAATTCAGATGTTTGGGCTGAATATCAAGAACCAGTTGGTAGCCACATACATACATTTTAATAGTGGTGTAATAAATGTAATTATAATACACACATTTGTTTAATGTAACATAGTATATTAAAATTAAAATTCAGCGGAAAAAAATCTTTTAATTCAGGAATAAATAGAGGGAAAGGAGATATAAATATGATTATTATATTAAATTAGAAATATCGAACACTATATACTCTGTTCTGTCTTTAAAATGTTAATTAGAAGGAAAAAGAGGACTAATGGAAATGAGAAACATTAAATGGTCAAAAACTTATATACACTTCCATTTTAGAGAGAGTATAAAGAAGCTTTATCTTATAATGGTAGGAATTGAAGGGTAGAAACCAGGAAATTTGCACTGATGGTGTTGTTTTTTTTTTTCTACTGAATGTCTAAATCACTGAATGTCTTCGGACATATCAGTGATATTTAAACTGAAAACAAAAACTGGAATAGGGTCTACCTATAATACCTTTAGAACTGATAGATTTAATAAAATAACATTGAAAGACGTTATACACAAAGTAAAAGACCGATAATAAATACAAGAAAATAAGTACACTAAGATGTTGAATAGACCAAATAATAAACATAATGTACAAAAAGCTGCAAGAAATCAATAAGATCAACTCAATGACCCAAAACGAGAAAAAAACAGGGATAGTATATAAAGAAAATTTAGAGAACAATTCATTTGGTTTTAAATCATTTAAAGAATGAGAAATTATGTTTCACCTCCTTGAAAACCATGTATATACATAAATTATTTGGAATTCTTCTGCAGAGGAGATTTATGTATTCTTATCCCTTTCATTTACTTATTCAATATTTATTTGTATCATTCCAGATTCAGAGATATTTATTTTATACTTTGAGTTGTTTATTTTATTGCTGAAATTGGCCCAGATTTGGCCATTGAGAGCTCTTTTAGTGGTGTCTGCATCTTTTTGACATCCCCCATCATTGTTTTGTTTTGTTTGGCTTTGTTAAAAAAATATTTTTTTATGAAAAGCATCTGTCCATTTTCTTGCATTCCAGGTTTGTATATTTTCTGCATTAGTCATAGAATTAGCCATTTTTCCAGTATAAATTTTTGCAGTATAAATTAAAATCTGAGTGTGTGGTGTATGTTGCTACTGGGGAATCTGCTTCTACTTCCCCACAGCAGACTGAGGAACGGAACACATGTGTGTATACTAGCTTGTGCATATATATATTTTAATAAATATTTATCTCTCTCTCTTTTGCTCTGGATATTAATATGAATAGAATCATATAATATGTGGCCTTTTGGATTAGCTTCTTTCAGTTAGCGTAAAGTTTTCAAGTTCATCCATGTTATAGCATATTTCAGTACTTCATTCCCTTTTAAGGTTGAATAATATTTAATTGTATGGATATAACATTTTTTTATTTATCCATTTATCAGCTGATTGACATTGTATTCTTTCCCCCTTTAGCTATTATGGCTAATGCTGCTATATATATTCATTTACAGGTATTTGTGTGGACATATGTTTTCAATTCTCTTGAGTATATATGAAGCAGCAGAATTGCTGGAGTATATAGTTACTGTACGTTTAATCATTTAAGGAAATGTCAAAATGTTTTCCAAAGGAATTTCACCATTTTACATTCCCAGTAGTTGTGTATAAGAGATCAAATTTCTCCCTATTTTTGTCAACACTTCTTATCTGACATTGTGATACTAGGCATCCTAGTCAGTGTGAAGTAGTATCTCATTTTCATTTTGATCTGCACTTCCCTGATTACTAATGATTTAAAACAACTTTTCATGTGTTTATTGGCCTTTTTTATACCTTCCTGGAAAACATCTATTGAGAAACTTTGCCAATTTCTAATTCAGTTGTCTTTTTTTTATCCTGAGTCATGAGTTAGTTTTGGATTTTGGATACAAGTCTCTCAGATATATGGTTATATATCAGATATATAATTTGCAAGTATTTTTGCCAGATATTATTTGTTGCTTCATTTTCTTGATAGTGTCCTTTGAAGCACACATTTTGTAAAAATTTTTATTAAATTTAATTGATTTTTTTTTTGGCCGCTTGTGCTTTGTTGTAATGTCTATGCTAAATTCAGTCTCATGAAAGTTTATTCCTATGTTTTCTTCTAATAGTTAAATAGGTTTAGAGATGTAACAACAGCAAAATGTCATATTAGGAAGTTCCAGGCCCCCATTCCCCACAGAAACACCAAGTAAACAACAACAAACAGATTGAAAGAAATTAAAAAGACACAAGTAGATGGAAAGCCGTCCTGTGGTGA